TTCCTCCCCCTCCTCCTTGCCACCCCTGTCGATAGGTCGTGCACGTGCGGCTTTAGACTACGTTCACACGCGATAGTCTCGCCTCTAATTGGACCCTCGGTCGGATCGAACGTAAGTCGCTTGGAAATTGAATTTTTCCACCTCCCCCCTCCCCCGCCCTCGTTTCATTTTCTTTTCATTTTCCAAAAGAAAGCGAACGAAAGCGGAAGACAACGAAGCGGAGTCGATACTCGCCGAGTGAATATTATCTTTGGCCTTGCGAATCCTCTGTCTCGGTTTTATCTTTGCGCCGACGGCGAAAAATTGTCGGTAATTCAAACTGATGCATGTAACTTCGTAAAGGAAGATCGAAGATTTTTTTTTTTCTTTTCGCAGCTGGATCTACCGTCAGTTTGAAGTCTCTCCTTCCACGACGATTACTTAAAATCTGTCGTACGATTTTTCTTTTTTTCTTTCTTTCACCATTTCGTTGAACGACAAAGAAATCGTAGCATTTTCGTCATCTGACTCCAATGTTTCAAAGCTCAATAAAGTCACAGACAGTAAGTTTTAAAGAGTGAAGTTGTAAGGAGGAGGTTTCGACTTTCAAGATCATAGCAGAAAGAATTTTCCGGTGTCTTTAATTTTCACGCCTTTCTTGAATTTAAAACCATTTTCGAAGAAACGAACTCGCGACTGTCGAAAGTGGAGGCTTCGCGCTTTACGATGAGACGAAATGGATCTTCCCTTATATCAGTGTGAATCATCGATCAAAATTTTTCACCGTCAATTCGTATAGTTATGCTCTTTACTTTCATTGAATTTGTATCCTTCGCGTTTCTATTCTCTTCGTGAATTTTTCTACGATAATCGACCGTTTCTCGCTCTTATTTAAAAATTCAAGTCCCATTAGGGCAAGGTTCACATTCATAATAAGTCCCGGTCGACAAGGCGCCCTATTATTATTACACGGAGGGTTCGGAAGCCAATCAGAGTCTTTCATTAAAGATGACATATGCCGCGCAAATACCCTCTCGTTGTGAAAACCTTCGACGTATGGAACAATTCGGTCGTTATATTATAACGACTAAGTTAATGATTATATTATGACTAAACTGCGCCTGTGCTTTGACGATGAAATTATGTTTGCACGACGCGAGTCATTTTTAATGAAACACTGCCTGTACACTAATTGGTTTATGAACTCTCTATACCCATATATATATATATATATATATATATATATATATATATATATATATATA